AATTCAACATTAGTTGATGTACTAGTTTGTGGGCGCATAGTATTTATAGGACACCCCATATGGTTTATTAGTAAGTTGATATTCAGTAATTGTTTGAATAGTCTCTGATATAGTTTATCAGTTTATAGTAATATTTTATTATTACTATGCGTTATTATTGGGACACCCGGTATAACTCAGACTGGACACACGCTACGTCAATACTCATTAACTATTTCAGTAGTTTCCAATACAGGTGATAAGCCTATGAATAATATTTTAACATTACTTCAGTACCCTTTTATTTTTAGGACACCCTCTATATCACATTCGTGAATCGGTACATCAGTATTCATCAATTATTTTAGTAGTTTTCTAAACAGTTTATAACCTTATAATCACACTTGATTATTACATTGGGCCATTATTATTAGGACACCCCGTATATATTCTTTCCATATTTTGAATTTAATATTCATTATTTATTTCGGTAACGTAGTAATTAATTTATTAGCTTATTAGAGTAGTTCACCATCATTCCATCAGATTACTATTAGGACATCCGGTATATACGTTACTTTATATCGCTTTGGTCGCATACTTTTGCTTTAATGCATTCGGAACACCGATAAATACGTGTTTCGGAGGGGGGTACAACTTCCCGGCGGATTGTTTGTTTTAAAACCAAAAAGAAAACTGAATTAGAATCGTACCTAGCGGTCGTTACTTCTCATCCCGTGATAAGATTGGCTATCATTTCTTACGCTTTCCGCTCCATTTCATCCTTTATTTGCGAAGGGGTTGTGTTTGAGCTTCGGGGGAGAATTTATTCAGACCCGCGATTCCCGCGAATTTTTGCCTATGGGAAATAATAATAAATTCTTTCCTCCTCGTTTCGTCGCCACCGCCAATGCCAGCCAGCGAAATTCGCGCTGTAAGTAGTCCACAGGATATTACATTAAATATAGGAGACCAGAATTTGCTGTATACACAAACGTAGGAAATCATATTTGACACACGTGTCAACAATAACGTGCCGAAATTTAAGTACATTAATTCTGAGCGACAGCGTTTGTCATTAAATTAATTATAATTTATAAAAAATGAGTACGGTAAAAATAATAAAATCCTGTCGATCTTCGATAAATGAATAAAACACAAAGGTATAGTCAAAAGATTAAATAATTGAAGGTAGAATGGGTGAATAGCACTTGTGACAAATTAAAGTTATAATTCAAAACGGAGTAAAACATTCGAGGAATTTAATTAATAGTTTCGGTTTTCCAAAAGGGAAGGGAAAATAATTCCAGAAAATCTTCCGAACGTTCGTGTCTGAATTTTGAGCTGTAGGTCGCGGCATTACAACGGTAAAGGGGATCCATCGATCGGTCGGAGATATTCCCGTTTCGAAAAGCGGGTTTTCAACGGGCTGAGAGGCCGTCACGGAATCGAGGGGTTCGCGAGATAATCGCTTTGATAAAAGAGTCGACGTTAAAAATCGCGGGAAAACGAACATTTTTCCTTCGATCGTCACCGGAGACAGGTTTCTGCGAAACGAAAAAGAAAAAATTGAAATCCACGCGAACAGAGTGTTTAATCCGCGATTGAGAAAACATTGCTGTAAAAAAATTGTATAATTAACAGACAGCTTAATAATATATGCAAATCCAAAAGACTTTTCGTAAAACTGAAAATTAAATGGAAATTCTTTGTGCTCTGTTAAAAGCGTGTTACGAAGTTAAAACGAAATGCAAATATGAAGTCTTTGTTTCTCATGAATTTCAAATAGGAACTTTTACGTTTGTACCGCGTGTTGCAATCGTTTGTTCAAACGTCATAGTACTGCCTTTTACGTGTGAGAAGAATCTGTATGAGACATGACGAAGGTAATCGAAATTTCATATAAATTCGGTCCAAATTTAATTGATATCGAAATGCGTTCCCGGCGCCATTCAATCATACTCATTGCGATATCGTTCTCGCAAATTCCATAAACGTGTCGTGTCGCGCGACCACGGATGATTAAGCGCGTTATACGCGTAATTTCACTGAAAAATTTTACTCAATTTTGTCCCGCGTGACGCAGATGTGATTGTCGTATGTTCTCGGTTACCGAGAAAAATTATTAATTGCTTGACAGAGACAGACGAATATATTTATTACTTATCATTTAGGACAAATGAGGAGCCAAGTAGCCTTAAATAACAACAAAGAATTGAAAAAACGCTTGCCTTCTACTTGTGCAAGCATTCCTACTACTTGTCTGACAATATAGCCACTCGTACTACTTATCACGTGAATCTGTGTGCTACTTGCGAGACTATACACACGTCTGCTACTCGTACGACTTTATTTACATTCATACTACTTGCCTGACTTTTCAAATTTCTTACTACTTGTCGGCTATGCATGTACTAATACTACTTGTATGACTATATGCGCAGTCATACTACTTTTCTCGTTTTATTCACACTCATAATACCTGATTCACTAGGCAGACCCTCATACTCACTTGAGTAACTATATGATACTCATACTACTTTTCGAACAAAAGGAAATTCTCACTACCTGTATGTCTAAGTGGACACTTGCACTACTTCTATGACTAAATGGATATTCACACTACTTGCCTCGCCAAATGGACATTAACACTACTGGTATGGCTATGTGCACACTTGCACTACTTACCAGACTATATGATACTCATACTACTTGATTGACTAACTGTGCATTTACACCACTTGTCTGGCTATATGTACACCCATACTACTTGCCTGACTGCATAGACACTTTTATTGATATTATTGCATTTATACAAGCTTTGTATCATTTATCTTGTCCAATTATCAGATAATATCAGAAGAAAAAGATTCTTCCGAATCATATGTGTCTCAGATAATATATTACTTCATTTCTCATGAGGATTCATCCTTTCATTTCTCACGAGGACATACATGGAAGATACCAATGTTCTTCCACATCTTTCGTGACGATCCAGACGGATGCAACATCCTATATATAACCCTGCAACTGATAATCCACTGTTTCGATCGACTAAAAAATCCAAGCATCCTCCAAATATAAACTTTCGTTGAAACATGGGATGAAGGTGATCATGCGAAAGAAATTAATCACCAAGGCGTAACAGAATTTCTTTCTGCGGTGGACCTACTGCCGACAGCAGCAATCAACCGATCGAACTGACGATTTGAGCGAGGATTTCTCGTTTCATCCCGTGTCAAGCGTTCCAAGAGGGTGAACCGAATGGAAAAACCGTCTAACGTCGACGACCACGCCCCCTCCCCTCGCCGATAAACATCGTTCGTGGCGCGCTCGACGACAGTTGTTAACGTTCCGCGAGGTGAAAGCAGAAGAAAGCAAAAGAAAAAGGACGAAGAAAGACGATGGTTCGATGGCACTGTAATGGCCCCGGGGAAAAACTGTTTTCCTTCGGTCGGAGAATCGTCAGCAGCAAGGTGGTGGTGGAGGGGAGGGGCTGCTATGTTTTTCTCCGACGGTTTCGCGGACGCATTACCTCGAGAGCTTTCTTGATGAGGAAAAACAACCCTTTAGGCCGGAGCCCAAGCTCGACGGGAACCGTTCGAGCTTCCGAAGTAACACGCCTTGTGTCCCTGAGCATTCTCACTTCCACCGATGGTCCACGTTCGTCTTCGTTCTTTTTCCTTTCGCGAAGGGACGGTAATTTATGCGGGTGTTAACTGTAATTAATTTCTGTACCGTTGACGGTTTTTGGGTTTTGCCCGGAAGACCAACGGGGATATGCAATTTCGAGTGAAAAGTGTCGCTAGGTCTGAGTGATTTTGTCTATACATTCGTAAGTTTGTTATTATGTCGGGCAAATATTTAAAAAATTTGTAGTCAGTAATGCTAGACTTCGAAACGTCGTGAACTTCACAGACATAGCTGTAAATGTCGTTTATACATTTCACTTTAATAGCTTGTCTGACCAAATAGATACTCGTACTCCTTTGTTTTTATCTAATGGATCTTTGTACTACGTGTCTATGTATGTCATTGTGCCACTTGTCTGAATATCTACATATTTTTACTGCTTGTCCGAATATCTACATGTCTGTACTACTTGTCAGACTGTAGACAGATCTGTACTACTTGTCAGACTGTATACAGATCTGTACTACTTGGCTGACTGCATACAAATTTATACTACTTATCTCATATCCCAGGGACTAATAGAAAAGGTAACTTAAAATTAGAAATGGAACTTTGTTATAATAACCATTTAAGTCACAATATCATTTTATGGTTATATGTTCGTCGGGCGTTTTTCGCGTAGAAATGCAATTTTGTAGGATCGTACAAAGCAATGTGCTTTTATGCAAATAACGACTTATTTAAATTTTTTAAAAGAAGCTCGATGGGGAAATTGGAAAAGTATACTGCATTGTTTGACAGGCCAGATGCAGAATTGTACGTATACTTTTACATTGTCTGCATCTCTTATGTTATTCATGGTGCGAGTAAGTAGCACACTGTCACGAAATTTCGTGTTGGTCACGGAAGATAACAGTTGTTCAGGAGCCCCTTTATCTGGCACGTGACATAATATCACGGTACTGACACTTAGAATCCCTGTGGGAGAATGCGACAGACACTAGAACAAGGGAACTCCTTGGCTCAGGAGAGAATTTCCTTTTCGAAACTTTTTAGATTTCGTTCCACTAGAAACTCTTGCTTTCAGTCTTGGTATTTATTTATTTACATTTCATAAGTACTGCAAAATTATTTTCTTCGATCGTACTTCTAATTTTTTAAAATTGCTAACTATTTATATTTTTTAAATAATTCAGTAAATGGATGATCCTTACATGATAATAATTCAGAATAAATTTTTCCAAAATTAACCCTTAATAACCTTTTGCAGTTCAGGAATTAATTTTGACTTTTTCGAGGGCGGAGTATCGAAATTCGCAATGCAATATCGTACTCTTTTTACCATGGACTGCTATTATTAACAAATAAAATTATTGTTTTTGTTGCAGTGGAGGTCATGTTTTTGATATGGGGAATCAGACTGTGCATCGTGGTGAGGAAAACCCCGTCGGAATTCAATGAAAGCCGATTCATCTCGATGGCGATCTACAACGAATTTCTACTCTCAGTCTTCCTCAACGTCTCCATGTGAGTTCTCCTCTCCCCTAATTTTGGCTACATTTCGGCCGGTATCAGTGAAACAGTAATCCGTAGCTGCGGCGGCGGCGAGGTAATTTGTGGCGGAACGGAACGTGAAACCGCAAAACGTTAAGTCCTGCTGCCTCTTTGAAGGATACTACATGATTTCGTAATTCTTTCCTTCGCTGGTAATAAGAGGGAACCGTGAAACGAAAGGAACGGTTTCAGAATTTCAAAGCGACGGATTCATTTAAAACTCCAGACGTTAACGTACGGCGGTATTCAAATGAAACTTTGAACCGGATTCTTCCTTGCACAAAGGAATGCTTCATACATGGTGTTTCCTTTTATGTCGAAAATTTCAATTTACATATCGTCCATAATCTAAAATTATGATTTAATGGTCATTATTTTCTGACTACACTACTTGACTGACCATACGGCGACTCGTACTACTTGGCTGCCCGTACAGTGACTCGTACTACCTGGCTGACCATCCAGGGACTCGTACTACTTGAGCATCCATATTTATTCGTTCCGAAAGGGTACCATTTTCACAAACGTACCGACAGTAGATTTTTCGAAATGTTCTTGTTCAACCGTGCCGCCGTCTCGTGGATTGTACGTCGAAGCTAATGCGCCTACGGAACGTGAAACGCTGGGCTACGAATCGTTAATTTTAATAATGTATTCCGCTGATACTCGGCCCCGTTCTCCGTGAACTGGACCAGAACACCGGAAGCTATTATGTTTTGTTACGAGCGTACATGTTCTGAATAAATAACACTCGGCCGGCAGGCACCGTGTCTCGACCGTGTGCCTTTTTCGAAAATCTATCGAGTTTCGTTGAAAGGCTTCGCGTCACGGTTACGGTCGCGTTTAGCCTGCAATATTTCATGCTAGAATGGTTTGAATACCTGCCTGAGAGCTTGATCATACAAATGAGTACTTCTAAGTCATCTATGATTCATTACTTCTTGCAAAAACCGTCTAGTATTGGTGCATAAAGTGGAAACTGTCAAAGACGTCCACTTAACAAATCCCTTATTTCTGATGAAGACCACATCTTCATTTTAATGCTATTGGTATCTTTTTGTCCAAACAAAGAAGTATTTTAATTTCCGTTGGGAAGTCTATTCTTCACGTCTCAGTTTCAATATCCCTACGGACCAGTTCTCAAGATCATAATAACCTCTAGTCCACATCAGAACTCCCTTACCAGACCCTAAGTCCTCGATAGACGAAGTTAGCGAACATGGGGTTAGACTAACGAACGTGCGTGGAAGTTTCTAAACCCTATTCCAACGTGCTCGCGGGGGGTAGAAGAGGGACAAAACTGGTTGTGTCATACGCTCTAATCACGCGCGTAATTATACGCAAAGTTGAGGAGCTGACGGCGGCTTCGGTGTGTAACGGCAGACTCGCCTGAAAGGGGAGTCCAACGAACGGTCGTTCGGGGGAAAATTAGAATCCCTTGCGGATGAGAAAACTGAAAATAGAACATAAGCCTCCGTTATTTTCGGAAAACCTGTTACGGTGACGGCGAAACTTTGCAAGTAACCGCAAGGAGATACTCTGCACGCTTCCCGTCAAATGATTCATGCCGCTTCTAGACCACCGACGTACGAACGCTGCGGCACGAATTTATTAGGCAGCTACCAAAACCTACCATTTAGAATATCTCCGTTGCTTTACACGATAGAGAAAGCTTCCAGAGGAAAAACTTGTACCTTTTGAAGTGACAAATTTTATTGTACAGCAACAATCTTCATCCAACTCATACTTCCCGAGATTTCTAGATTACCAATATGACGTCTCCCCCTAGGTGCAGTCTTACAATTGCTAAGAAGGTTTAAGCCACACTCAAGGAATGCCAAAACCCTTCAAGAACTTCCATCCAGCCATTGTGCTGTACGATAATCCCAGACGAAGGTTCGAAATGCTACTCCTCAAAAAGATCCCACCATTTTCTCCTGCGTGGAACGTTAACAAACTAGAGACGCACCTTCGGAGCTCTCATGAACGTTTCCCTGGCTAGTGTAATTATTAATACAAGCTCTCAGGAAGTCCTATCAAACACTTCCACTGCTCTCTGACCGTAATCACCAGGTCAAGCCACTGGAAATGTAAATAAACGTTAGAAACTTCTCAAATGTCCCTATCGATGAGTCGACCTATTTAGAAATTGGCCCGCAGTGAAGAAGTTTATACGTCCAGTAAAGTTAGGGAATAGGCTCGTCGAACACTGTGAAAAAAACTCGCGAACGAAGGACTCAACGGTTGCAATCTTTCTCGTTGCAGGTTGTTCTTGCAGTCACCGGCCAATCCGGATTTATTGTACGTGATATTTTTCTGCCACACACAGCTTACCGTCACGCTGCTACTGTGCCTCATATTCGGCAGTAAGGTAAGACTGATCGATTTTGTATTTATGTTTTGTGCCGACCACACCGCGTAACAAATGGCACGACTGCCGCCGTGGAATCGTGAATTCCAAGAGTCGGGCTTGCGGCTACCACACTTCTCTCCTCCACCCCCCGTCCATCTAGAATTTATTTATTTCACGACGTGCATATTGATCATCGGGAATATCGGTTCCTAAAACTCTGGAAGTTGTAAAGTAGTTGTGTGCGTATACACCGGGGATAATTTATTTGGTTCGTGGTGGAAGTGACAAAGCAGGCTCTTTGAAATAGATATTCCGCCGGGGGAATGACAATCGAGTCGGGAACACTCACTGAATGGTGTAGTTCTGTCGCAAACTTCAGACCTCCATTGGGGGCCTACAGGGCAGTAATAAACTGGGTGGCAGTGATTTTATGTCTTCAAGTTACGAAGCTCTATGTATGTCCCAGAATGTTGTTAATTTTACTAAGCAAGTAGGGAAATTCAGTAACAACAATTCAGTAACTCAATAACTCAATAACTCAATAGTTCAGTCATCCAATGACTCAGTGACTCGGGAACTCAATAACTTTACAACTCAATGACTCAATGAATCAATAGTTCAGTCATCCAATGACTCAGGGACTCGGTAACTCAATAACTCTATAACTCTATTACTCTATAACTCTATAACTCTATAACTCTATAACTCTATAACTCTATAACTCTATAACTCTATAACTCTATAACTCTATAACTCTATAACTCTATAACTCTATAACTCTATAACTCTATAACTCTATAACTCTATAACTCTATAACTCTATAACTCTATAACTCTATAACTCTATAACTCTATAACTCTATAACTCTATAACTCTATAACTCTATAACTCTATAACTCTATAACTCTATAACTCTATAACTCTATAACTCTATAACTCTATAACTCTATAACTCTATAACTCTATAACTCTATAACTCTATAACTCTATGACTCTATGACTCTATGACTCTATGACTCAATGACTCAGTGACTCAATGACTCAATGACTCAGTAACTCGATATCTCATTAGGATTCCTGATGTCGGTTCCACATATTCTAGGACACCCTGTACACTCCTAACAGTTCCCCGCAACACGTTTCCGAGATTTCCTTCCGGACCGTTCCGCAAGTTCACCTCTCGTAACTTTCCCATTCACCTACCCAGCTACCACGCGATCCTCGAAAGAATCGTGTTCACGCCCGGTACTGACGGAACTTACCTTGTTTTAATGTAGGCCTACGTGGTGTTCCGTAGCGGGGGCAAGGAGGACGCGAAACACTCCGGCGCGACCGGGAAATTTCTCGGGAAAAGCAGCCGGCCTGCGGGCACAAGCAACCAGACGAACTCGATATCCCTGCAGCAGGGAAACTTCACCGACGAGAGCGACGGAGCTACGGTAAGAGCCACTTGAAAACCACCCATCCACCCACGTGCACCCCCTTTTAGCGATCTTTTTTAGATTCTCATCGTGCCAGCTACTTTCCACGAAAAAAAATATGTCTTTAATGGTGTTCTCGCGTGATGTTTCGTCCATCCACTCTGCGGCTGAACTATGCTTCCTTCGATCGCGCCGCAATTACGTTACGTTTCGTTCCACATACCGCGCATACATTTCTGTTGATCGTTATTACACGATTAAGGGTAACGCGCCCCCCTCTACTTTGAGAAATGCAGCAGAATAAGGTTGCCTTGAAATTTTTTGATCGGTGATCGTGGATTATAGGAAATTCCCATTAACACATTACTGCCAGTGGGAATGTACCGGGTGACTCGTTTATATCCCTAACCTTGGATCAGTGCGCAATTCGATAATTTCAAAATAGGGTAATTGGAAACTTGGTTATATTGTAGTCTTTACTGGTATAAAAATTCTTGGATCTACAGCTGGTTGAAATATAGTGTCAACCTTCTTTCGATAGATTATTTTGATAAATTTAATTATTATGACTTTGTTCGTTCAAGATTATCTCCGAGACACCCGTTATATCAGCAGTTAGATCGAACAGCCTCGAAACCCGAATTGAAGGAAATAATTTCGAACAGGAATAGTAGTGCAATCAGGGAGCCAGTGTTAAGTACATTGATACTTCTGTAAACAGGGTGATCCATATGTTACGAAAGATTTATCGAAAATCGATCGTGGTCTATCTTGCCCAAGACATCCCCATATGCCCACCCACCTACGCACCCAACGAACGCCGATTAATAGATACCGAACCGTCGAGCCCATTGTTCGTAAAGCCGATTAATGGCTTCCCCGTGCCCCGTTGCGTTAATTACGATATCGACATACAGAGAAGCAGATTTACCCATTGGCTAGACGGGGCCGAGGTTAACATCCGTTAAAGCACCAGAAGTCCACGGACTGTCGCGGACCCTCGTCATCAGTCTTAATTGGAAAACGGACTTGGTGCTCGATCTAACGATCTTGCCGTTGACAGATGAAAAAGAAACGAGATCCATCGAGCACGGTACTGTCGCAAAATTCTTTGATCAACCCGCTTTGTGAAATGAACGAACAATTTTTCAGCGATGGATAATGATGAATAATTGTGATCATAGGAATTATGGGAAAGTCCATTGAGGGAACATTCAATGATCAGAGGCGCGAATTTAGGACCGGGTATGCTAATGCCCCTGGTATGAGGAACGTCCTGCCCACGACCTGTAGAATTCGATAACGCCATATTAGCTGGCTTCGTAAAAGCAAAGCTGCAATTAATAGAGGATCAGGTGGTGGGAAGGCCTCGATAGTCCTCTGGACACAACCTGATCCCAAGGAAATGAGCGAAGAGAGTAACTACAGCGAAACACACAAATGGGGGATTATATGGCAGAGGCATTGGTAGCTAAATCAGTTTTTAAGTCCTTGGTAGCCATTGTTGATAAAGAAGCATAGTTGTGAATAGAGGATACTTAAAGGAATAGGTCATCTGTACTTGTGCAGTAGGACACAGTGAGAGTCATCTAAAGTTACATATCTTGGTCTTATACAAACTTAGACCTTGCAAGGACTATAGGCCTAGACTATGGCAAGAGCTAATGAGTTAGCTCCACCTAACCAGATTATATCAGAGGTTTAACAGATGCTGACTATTTCATAGCATCATTAGTCTGGATGATACAATATTCTAAATGACTTGGACCATACATCATTGATAAAAAAACATAGTTGTCAATAGAGGATACTTAAAGGAATAGGTCATCCGTACTTGTGCAGTAGGACAAAGTAGGTTAGAGTAATTTAAAATGGCATATGTTGGCAATTTGGAGATCCTGGAAGGACTATAGGCCTAGACCATGATAAGAGCTAATGAGTTAGCTCCTGCTAACCAGATTATATCAAAGATCTGGCAGATGTTGACTGTTCCATAGCATCATTGGTCTAGATGATACAACATTCTAAATGACTTGGACTATACCCAGGTCTATTGAACTTAGAATACGTAGTTTTGGATTACATTATACCAACCTAAGACATAAGTGATGATCCCCCAACCTCGTGTTTACCCACAAAAGGCCAGAACTGAATTCACCAGTCTAGACGGAAATCATAACTGTGCTTATTCTCTCAACCATAAAAAAAACCCTGCAAATTCTATTATCAGGGGAATGCTCCTAAAGGACCGACCTAATCGTTGCCAGTCAAATGTCAGAGCAGACGCAACTTCAGCTAGCCCTCTATATATCAGACTTCAACCGACCGTATCTTCGAGGTCGGCGCAATTTTCCAGGCTTTTTGCGATTCTCTGGTAATCCTCGCCGGCCTAAAAGCGCCGGGCGTATGACATTTTGCCGCAGTGCCTTTTGTGGATACTAATGCAACCCCAGCCTCGAGTATCGCGGGAAAGCGAGTCGCCTAATCGCCGGAACGATTTCCAACGATTCGTTCGCTGACACATTTTCCTAAATCGATCGATACCTCGCAAGAAAATTCCGGTGTTTTTTTAAATTTCACAGATTTTTAGGACACCCCCAATAGAAGCATCGGGCAATTTTTCGTTTTTGCTAATATTCAGTCCTGAAACCACTCCTTAAATATTCATGTGTCTTTTCTTATTTTCAAGTATATCTTGGAAACTATAGCAGATATAAAAAAAAACTGTTCTAATGAAGATTTAATAGTTTCTTGGACTTTATAAAACTGTACAACAAAATTATTAAAAAATTGTTTTTAAGTAAATAAATAAATGAACAAATTTTTAACAATTTTCTGAGACAGTTTTTTAGATCATAAAAAGTCATTGAATGTTCATTATAATAGTTTTTTTCTATCTACCATAATTTTCAAGATATACAGAACAATAATAAAGGACACATTACCATTAAAAGAATGGTTTCATCCTAAAGAACGGAATTTCAGCAAAAATAAAAAATTTCCCAATGCTTCTATTGAAAATCTGCGGAGTTCAAATAAAATCGTATGTTCAGGATACAATCGGTAACAAAATGGGATTTATTTTGATTATCCTGGAAGCAGGAAATTTAGATTGAGGATAGTGGTAATTAATGGGTTAAAGTTAATGAATTGTTCTGTTTTATATTTTGGTCTTAAAACAAAGCTGACATGAAGTCGCAACGAATCGGTGACGATGACACGTGATAAGGTAAAAAAAACCTCGTTCCACATACAGTCCTTTAATAAGCATACAGGCTATCACCGTCGGTTTATCAGTACAACTTTCATAACCCGTGTAATCGCCTCTTGCAAACTTCATTAAGGAGATGTGCTTGTTAAGCGGATTTCCTGTAAGGTTGCCCTTTACAAGACCTGCGAAATTAAGCAATTATTTTTAATAGCATGTTTCCTGGTTTTCCTACGAACCCACGTACACCATTTTAAAACGTCCATTTTATTTACACTTCCGATTAGCATGTAGCATATTTTACTAAATAGTGCTAATAAAATAAATTACTGAATTATTACTAAACGTCTAATCCAGGTGTAACTGAGACCTAATTTATAGGTTAGTATTCTTTCAGTCTTGCTAATATATAATTTATATTGTCCTTAGTTGCAATATATACACAATAAATATCTAGATTATATTTTGTTCAGAACTAGCCTGAGCCAAATTCAAACCTAATTTAATTATTAAGTTTGGATCGAACGTAACCTGTACATAGAGTAGATATGTAATAGATAAGCTATCTGACACCCAATGTACCAGCTGATCATTCAGATCATGGTCGAAAATCATCGTATAGTTATTATAGAAAAATAATTTTCTCAATTTGTAGTTTGAAAACGATGTTTACGGCAGATTAAACGACGTGGTCGAATCGGGAGGCAAATTCCCAAAATTTCACACTCTAATTACCATTCAGACAGAGCTGAGTGACAGTAATGATGGACATGCGGATGGAGCGGTCCCTGATTGCACTCAATTATCGACGAAATTGACGCTTTGAAAATTACAAACGAACGAGCAGATTATGCAAAATGTTTAAATCTGTTATGAACAAGCTTGTTGCATTCACAATTATGAGTGTATTCAGCAGCCAACAACACGGGACGCAGGGGTGTGACGTATTCGAGGGCAACATGTCGATAATAATTAAGGAATCATTTGTTATCGACTGTGTGCCGCTTCTTTCACCGATGAACAGTTTCTATTAACTTTAAATGTTACCAATTCCCTTGTATATATTACTCATTCCTTATTGACTAGTTGTTAGGCATTTCCCATTGTTTATTACCTGTTATTTATTAATTATCACCCATTATCTGCTACGTTTAAATTAATGAACATTTCCTATAGTATATTAACAATTATTTATTATCGTGATGCCTATTCTTTGTGTAGTTACATATTATACATTATTCCCTATTCATTACTTTCACAATTATTCTTTAAATAAAATACAGTTCAATTAAAAAATAATACAATGCGTTCAAAAAAAAAAGGATAATAGTTACAGAAAATTCCTATACATAGAAAGTTGTGTAAGATTCCTTGAATCCAGTTTCGGAGACCCCCCTGTAGATGACATTATTCCTAAAAAGTAGGTTTAAGTAGACGGATTTCGTCTATTTTTGTAACGGCTGAACTGAATAGATGAGATCTAGGGTTGCCTATCTTTTCATCTGACTCCCCAATCCCCATCCCCTATCCCCTAATCCCTTTTACTGATGAAAGCTCAAAAGTTTGGATCTTGAATGTCTGCCTTAGTGGACAAATTCTCAGTTCCAGCTTTATAAGACACGTGGCTGATCTACATAGAAAATTAGTGTCTTCTCTTCTTGACTTTCTGAAACTATCTCAGGCACATGTACACTAATCCAAAATCACTAATGGGCCACTTAACCAGATTTTGGAGTTGAGCTTCAAACTTTTCAGGTCCTATTAGTATTTATTGCCTGTTGTTTCATTTATATAAATTAAAATAGCTAACTTTTAAACGTAATAATAAAATAAAACGTAACATTTGAAAGTTTAAGAGCAACTAAATTCTGATTTGCAATTCTATAGGATATTTAGGATCCAGGGGAAATGTCTCCTGCAAATGTGTCATTTTAACAAGTCTACGACTTACCTTTTATGTATCATTCCAGGAAGAGTTCCGTCGGTTCATAAATCAATTGGAGGTCCTCAAGGAAAAAAACGTTCTCCTCGGTAATCATCATTTAGTGAACAAGCTCGTAGCGATGCAGGAGGCCGCTAACCGAGCCGAGACCCAGGTGTCCACAATCCAGGTGATCTCCTCGATCATGAGACTGAACGATCTAAATGGATCCACCGCGATTGTTGAAACAGACATCGGGGGTTCTTATAAGAGCGACGGTGATCAAAAAAGTGGTGAGTCCAGTTACATTTTCAGCACTTATGTATTCTTCACTGTTCTATCCTAAACAACCAGTCTTTCGACAGGTAGATCTGTCCCCTTTCTCTGCTTCATTATCCAATAGACAGTAAGTCTCCAGCTGTCTGAATCTCATCGACAAATAAACTTCTTTATTTCATCAGCCAATAGAATATTTTTAGTTGGTTCAGCTTCATCCTACACTTATCACACCAGGTCCACAGTCAGAGTAGCCTTAATCAATTACTTCAGTCCCATCATTTTGGACTACCTAACTTAGATCTAATCTATGTCTCACGATGATCTGACCGCTACATCATCTTACTCACCTATAGTACCTATCTATCATACTGCCTATAATATCTGGATTTGATCTGGAGCTAATCTGAATCCAAGGCCTAGTTCAGATCTAAACCCCACTTCAGTTTGTCCGAGACCTAACATGGACCATTCCCAGACCTGGTCTAGACAGATCCAACTAGAAGCTCCCCTGAACCTAGCATAAACCTGCTCTTAGTTCATTTCTCAACCGGACCCAAGCTCTCCAGTTGCGTTGAAACTGGACAAGCGGCAATCTGTCTAGGTGTCGAGCTGAAAGAGGAGAAGAGATGCCAAGCCTGCGTCGAGAAGAACGGGATAAAAAGCAAGGAGCCGAGCTCGTCCAAGGATGGGGAGGTCCTGGTCTCCGTGGAGGCTAAGAAAACGACCAGAACCAACGACGTCGGTGTGTCCACATCTGGTAGGCCTGCTACCACCGAGGACATCGGAACGGAGACAAAGCAGGAGGAGAAAGAGACCAGGGAGAAAAGCAAGAGCAAGTCAGGCCACGCCAGGACGCACGCCATAGTCATCAATCTGGACGACAAGAGCAGGTTCTCGGAGGAGGTCACTGTATAAGGGACGTGTTCTGTGAACTGTTACAATTAGGGTCTTCTAGTATCCTGGATTCGATGGAGTATAGTGTAGAAGACTTGTGTTCTGAATGCATTGAGTGGAAGGAGTCAGTGTTGGGTTCCGTTTCCTTTTTCTGTTGGTGTTTTTATGTTGACGGTTAAGAGGTCTGCAGGAAGAATTCGCCACGTGTGTCATCGGAAGATGTAAGTTGATAACATTTTTTTTTTTTTTTTCAAATGTTCCTCGAAGGCGCTGTTTGGTCTCGATACCCGAAAAGTTTGAGAACGAAAGTGTGGAAAGTGTTCATCCGGAACACGGCTTTGCTTTTTCGTACCTAAGAACAAAAGTTTGTAGTTTTTTCGGGCGATTACGATACAAATGACGCCTTTAAAATGTTGAGTTTTTTCAGGCGTCGATCGAAGAAATAAGGCGACGAGTTTTTACCAAAATTCGTTGCCTTGAGAGGCGAGAGGTGGTCGAATGAAAATATTACCTTTCTCGAGTGAAGAAACTCGTGAAGTATTGGAGAATGCATTGTTCCCAAACACGTGCATCACTGATCCGTCCCAGATAGAAAAATTCCACTATTTCTCACTACTTTTATCTCGTTTTATTAAAATCCTTCAATTTCAAACTACTCCGGTAAGATTAAACAGACGCGAATAGTGTTCTAATCGTTATTAACAAATATTTTTCATGACTATTGCACAGTAAGTGAACAATTCACGGTTAAAACAGATATCATACGATTCTTCGTTTAAAACTCCATCGAAAAGGTCCTACGAACTTTTCCTCTCAGCGTCACCGTTCTCGAGAAAAACAGCTTCGAAGTCCATCAAAGATTGCCACGCCCCTTTCGACGCGCGCACGTTCGTGCAATCTTCGAAGTCGATTTCCTCGAGAAGGAAGCCTCGCAGGAGAAAAGTACACAGCACGTTTTCGATGGACTTTTGAACGGGGAATCGCGTCCCGGTGATATTTATTGACGATTCGACGCTTTTTCGCATTAGAACGCCGCGAGCGCGGCTGTGGCAACAATGTTACCTCTGATGTCGCGCTTTTGATGTACGCTCGGTGCGTCGGCAAACACTGTGCACCCCGGCTTAAAATCGTAAATTCGCGAGACGACGGGAATGTGATTTATTTACAAATTCGGTTCTATCTGGGACACCATCCACCGCGGGAGCACCGACCCGTGAAGGGTCTCGTGCGCGCACAGCTTTTGTAAATATTCACTCTAGCCGCTTATTCGAAGTCTTCTGCCGTACGCGTTAAGTCGATCTGTAAATAATACAAACCCGCTCTGCGCGGACGAGTCGCGCCGTTATTCGACCGGATCGAAGCCGGTATCACCGTGATCGAACGTATTGGTGGTGGGCGGGGCGGGTGGGAGGGGGCGGGGCGACTGGTGCCCTCCGAACGACGCGCTCCTCATATCAGTCCAGCTGTAAATACATTGTACATAAAACCACGCGACGCAAGTTTGCCACTAGACTAACGATCGAGTTTCATTGTTAAGATCGTGCGTTAGGTTATCACGGACATCGTTAGGCTATACCCAGGATTTCAGACTGTTGCACATGAAACGGCGGGCTTTTTCAAAATTTTAAACGAACATTCCCGATTTAAATGAATTTTAGATATAATTTTTTGGGCGACATGAGAATACGAATTTGTGTAATTTTAACCTTTTTTATAATGATGGAAACTTTTGTTTAAAGAAAACAATTTTCAATTAATTGAAAATAATTGTGGATTGCTGTTGGTTCTTTTAATTTATTTCAGACAATGTACGGTCAATTTTTTATAGTGAGCATAAATAATGTTTCCTATAGAGTCGTGCAAACTGTGACATTTTATGGTTCATGAAAGCATGCTTTAATATCCCAATCATGTGCAACAGCCTGCTAAACATGCGACGATGGATATTTTTCGTCGCTCGGCGTTGATGAACAGATTATGATCAGGATATTTCGACGAGCTGGTTGGTAGAATTATTTATCGATTTGAAATTCCAAGAGGATTCTTACATACAGAATGGTGGATCTTTTAGTAACTAGTAATTGTTATTGATTATTATTTACTATAGACTACAATGATCAACATTTCCTTTTCAAAAATTAATTTTTGCCTGCAACTGAATCCGATATTATTAATCTAAAAACTATTCACAATTTTTTTAAATATATTTCTCTATGTTAATAATTTTTTCAATTTTTAGAAAAATATATCATGGTGTCATAATAATTGCCAAAATATACCAGATCTAGATATATAGTGGTGTATAATCTGGCGGTCCCAACTCAGTGATCTATATTTAAGTTCCAATCTTCAAAATTTATCCATTAATCTCTAAACGTGAAAAAATTGTCCTTAAAAAAAAATATTTTTTTAAAAACTAATATGTACAAATGTCTTGTCCCCACAGAACTGACAGTCCCCTGTTAGGTCCTTGTCAAAACTCTCGATTCTCTGATCGTCATTATACCCTTGTAATTCTGTTTCCCAAGTAGGACGACAATTAATTACACCGTCAATTATTTGCCTTCGCGAACCAAGTCCCCTGGCTGTTACCCGGATCGGTAAACCCTCCTACCAGGCTAAACATTGCATGAAGATTAATTGTCACTCTAATTAGACCTCTGAATCTATCGTTGCCCTGGATCGATCAGTTTTTCTCTCATCCGACGCGATTAATACTCCCCAGAAGTCGGGCGACCGATTGCCTCGATCGTCGGTCCCGTTCTTCCGCTCGTCTGAATCCTGTTCATCAACGCCAACATCGACATTCTACTTATTAAGTAAACGTTTTAATTATGCATATCGGTCTTCGGGAGCCCGGGCCTTCTGGGATAAGAGTGGTTTCTGGATTTCGAACCCAACGAACTAATTTCACTGGCGTCGCAGGACGCTCATCCTCTAAACTGATCTCGATGGAGCCTCTTCGAGTTCGCGGCACGGACGATTCTTGGGCAGAGATCTGGCCCAGATGGGTGGATAGACCTGGACATTATGTATGTGGAACTCACTGGTTCAAGAATTCAAATACTCAGAAGGAAAAAACTCTAAAGGCATGGACGATGATCAGTATAGGGTCTCTAGATATCTGAGCAATTTTAGGTAGTATTTTCGTCCACAGTTCACTTTCACTTTGGGGATCTTCAATCATCTGAAGAAAGAGGACAAGAGTAAGCCTTTAGCACCCTAAAGTTCTGGCCTATGGATAATCGTCCCCTACACTACTTGGACACAAAGTGAGCCATCTAGGTCTACAGATCTGGACATTAAGTGCTTGGGATTTATCAATTGGAGGACTCAAATACTTAGGTCTAAGAGAACTTCTGATGAATCTTAATAAATAGGAGTTATAAAAGAGACAGATATGATCTTCGTAAGTTGAAATCTAACGCATATGAGGATTGTCTCCTAATCTCGATAGACCTTAACTTATGGTACGAAGGATTCTTGGGCCCAAACTGGATAAGGAAGATGTCCAGACATGGACAACAGTAGTTTGAGCCTGCCATTTGAAGGATTTGAGTATATAGAGCGAAGAAGCCGTAAACTGATAGGGGATGCCCAGGGTCTTGATGAATCTCGGCAGACAGGGCTCTCATCTATGTCCAAGTTTAATCTTCGTTTTGAATTCGCTGACAGAGGAGACAAGTTTAAGACCCTTGGTGTCCTAGAGTCGCGGTTAGCGCAGATCCGAAATGAACCTTGAGATCGGAGATAAGGACGCATTGCTTGATGGTCTATCCCATTTCCTCCGTAGCGTTAGACAATATTTGAATGAGCCATTCGCCGGGATATAAAAAGAGAATCCTATTGAAGGGTAGCTAGTATCTCCAGATCTAAATCTTCCGAACTTTCTCTGTATGGAGATGGAAGTTTATGGGGATGTATTGAGAACCAAGGAGCAGGCACTGTTTACTGAACTGATTCCTAACGGATAACCCTCTATGGCTTTCAATATTATTGTACAGGACCGCTCAAAACGAACGGTTATTGACGCAAGAATTTATATAGCGAGAAGGTCTCAGGCGACGTTTGAATACTAAAAAGTGACACGTGTGGAATTAATAAAACGACCTGCCACAGTTGTTCAAAGTAGGGCATTCTGGAACAACCTGTAGAATCTGAACTCTAGGGCAGTAAATTCAAACAAGAGGATAGTCTACAATGGAGGATAAGAATTCTCCTGCATCATCTAGCCTGAAGAAAATATCCACAGTTGTTACTCGAACTTGGAACAACCTGTATAATCTAACTTTTAGCGAAATCTTTAAGAAAGCTGACGACAACAGTCTGCTGATATTTTCATCGAAAGTGAAAGGGCTTTTAGTGCTGACTGTCCAAAACTGAACACCCTGAAACACCCTGTACAATCGAAATCTCGAGGAAAAAAATTGAAACAGGACAACCAATTGAAATATTGCTGGTCACCAACTGAGGATACGAATTCTCCAGCATCATTTAGCCTAAATAAAATATTTAAAGCAGGTTACTGAAACCTGGAACAACCTGTATAACCTAACTTTTAGTGAAATCTGTAAGAAGACTGATAACAAGAATCTACTGATGTTTTCATCGGAAGCCAGACGGCTTCTACCTTCAAGTCGAAATTTGAACATCCTGAAACAACCTGTAGAATTGAAACCGTAACAGAACACATCTTGCGACTGGGATGCCACGTTAATTCTCCGTCTCGATCGAGAGTGTACCGTGTGCAGGGTCTAGCCTAGTGCTCGTTTCGTCCATGCCCGCAGCATCGAATCCCGATAATCGGGTTGAACGTCGCCGGTCTCGGAAAGGGAAGACGCCAGTTTCCGGTGGAATTGCCCCGGTGTAGATAAACCCGTCGATATCGGCCAAGATCTCCCGACCATTCTTCTCCCAGTGGACGGGGTAGGATCGCGTTACCCCTACAATAACGGGGGAAACACCGAGTAGATATAACGAGTATCAGCAATATCGCTTTCTCGATTAAAACGTGCCGGCAT